CGCTTTGTCCCCCCCCCCCCTGCCAGCATGGCCAAGCCAGCCCCGGCCTGTGGTGGGACCCTGGAGGCAGGGGGGGCTGATGTCCCCACTGCTGGGGGGCCTGTGCCATTCCCTCCCCTATCACCAGCCCCGCTGTACCCCCCAGGCAGTGAGGCTGCGGGGAGTCCCCTGCCATCACTGAGCACGTCCACGCAGGGGAGCCTGGAGGGCAGCACGGTGAGTACAGGGGGGGCAGGGGCTCCTCAGGACCGCTTGAGGTGGGGCTCAGTGCTGGGGGAGCTGGGTTGTTGCTGCAGATGCTGCCCTGGGATGGGACAGGGAGCCCCGTGGCATGGGGAGCCCCTGGGATATGGGGAAGGCTGAGTGGGCCGTGGGTGCTGGAGCACGGGAGCAGCAGTGTAACAGCATAGGAGATGTGGGGGGACCCATGGTGCGGCAGCTGACGGCACTCAGGTGCCTGCAGGTGCCACCCGGCTCCCCCAAGCCCAGCCACCCTCTCATCATCTCGGAGCTGCCAGCCCCCGGTGTGACCAAGGCCCGGCTCATGCCCATCAATGAAGGTGAGGTGGGGAAGGGCCGAGGCTGCGCTGCGTGGCCGTGTCTGCGCTGGGGGACCGTGACGTCCCTGCCAGCCCACACACCCTGAACCCCACCAACTGCCCCCTGTCCCCAGCAGAAGCCAAGCCCTGGATCCTGGGCCGGTTCCAGGTGACGCCAATCAAGGACCTGGCTGTGACCTCCCCAGTGCTGAGCAGCAGCGAGGCCGAGCGGCGCGGTGCAGAGCCGGCAGTGAGCAGCTCCCCGCTGCCCGCAGCCCCTGACACAGGGGACAGCTCAAGCAGTGACTCGCGCTCGGTGCTGGAGATGGTGGCCCGCAGCTTGTCCTACCTGAGCAGCGACGACACTGAGAGCGAGGACGAGGAGATCTGGGAGGAGCTGCAGAACCTGCGCCAGAAGTGAGCAGCCCCGCGGCGCGAGGGGGAGCAGGGTGGTGGGCTGCGCCCGGGAGGCAGCACAGGGGCTGCAGGTCTTCCTCCTTCCCGGAGGCCCTGGCTTGGCCGGGTGCGGCACATGGCTCGGCTTCCAGTCCCCGTCTCCTCCCCAGGCACCTGGCTGAGGTGCAGCTGCTGCAGAGCGCCCAGAAGAAAGAGATTGAGGAGCTGTACCTGCGGATGGGGAAGCAGCCACCGCTGGGCATCGTCTCCCCCGCCGCCATGCTCTCCAGCCGCCAGCGACGCCTCTCCAAGGGCAGCTTCAACCCCTCCCGCCGCAACAGCCTGCAGCGCCTGGAGCTGGCGCAGCCCCCAGGTGCCAGCCCCCGCTGCCCCAGCTCCCTCCCGGGGCCCCTGCGGGCTTGGTGGGGGCTGCAGGATAGGGAACTCCCCGGGGCCAGAGGGGGGTTGGGGCTGCATGGGGCACAGCTCTGTGACCCCCGCTCAGGGCCGGTCTGTCCCAGCAGGCATCATGCGCCGTAACTCACTGAGCGGCAGCAGCACCGGCTCGCAGGAGCAGCGGCTGAGCAAAGGGGTGACCTTCGCTGACGACTTTGGCCGGATGGTAAGGGACAGGGGGCTGATCCTGCTGCCGGTGGCCCCACAGTGCTCCCGGTGGGCCCCAGCTCACTGCTGCTTCTCTCCCCAGTAGCCAGCTGGCCAGGGGTGACTTCATGAACTACCTCAACCAAGTGCCTGCTGCCCTGGGGCGGGCAAGAGCCCCTGCGCCGCCTGGGAGGACAGCGCCAGCCTTGGGGGCAGCCAGTGCCCACACCCCAGGGAAGCTGGGCCCCCCACCCCTACCTGCCCTGGGG